ATAAGTAAACATTTTGAGGGTAATTGGAATCAGGTTTCTGACTGTGTGAGATAATCCTTACAGATGTGGAAAGGGGAACTCCAGCATGAACTCTATTGCATTGATTGGAATTGGATGTATCAGTATAAATTCATGGGTTTTATTTTTTAATTTGTATTTTATTTATTTATTAGTGAGAGACACTCAGAGGGAGGCAGAGACATAGGCAGAGGGGGAAGCAGCCTCCCTGCAAGGAGCCTGATTCGGGACTTGATCCCAGGACCCCGAGAGATCACAACCTGAGTTGAAGGCAGACACTCAACCACTGAGCCACCCAGGTGCCCCATTCATGGGTTTTAATACATCTTTTTATCGGAAACATCTTATGGAACATCCTTCTTTGCCAGTGTCAAGATAACTTAAAATTTGCAATTTGGGGTAATAATTTGGAGGTTCTTTATTTGCATGTCAAAATGTTAATGCAGGATTGCTAAAATTGGAACTGATAGTTCATATGTATATGAGAGATTAATTTTCTTTGACTATATAATTTCTGTCTGTGATTTATCTTAGTTTATTGGGAGACACTCTGCTTTTAAAACACTTCAACTTTTTCATATTCTTATTTTAATTTCTGTATCAACTATGACTCTTCCAAACACTGCCAAAGATATTCCATGGCTATTGTTTATTAAATTAAATGTTATTTGTCATATATATATATATACATATATATATTTTTTATCTATCAACAGAAATGAAAAGAAGTATAGCTAAATGTGCATATCTATATCTACCTATATTTATAGATATCTCGAATATCTTGTAGTGACAGAGCACAAAGAAGTACTTGACAAATGATGGTGATGTAGGAACAAGTTAGGGGCAGATGGGGCTAGGCAGGGAAAGATAAGGGAAAGGCCGAGAGTCAGGCCCCCAGAAATCTGTGGCCTCCCCTAAACCCCAAGGCACCAAAAGGCCCAGAGTCAGACTCCTACCCATCCCAAGAAAACAGAGATAAGACAGTAAAAACAGAGAAAAAAAATAAACCTGGCTCCTTAGCTCCAAAATGTTAGGGAGTATCTCCCTTTAACGGCCACTAAGTAATAACAGAAACTCATCAGACCACAAGGAAATACATCATTAAGGTGTTATCAATAGTCCCTGCTCAAACCAAGGCTGCACAGGAATCTCAAGGCCAGGGGATTCCCTGGGTGGCTCAGTGGTTTGGTGCCTGCCTTCTGCCCAGGGTGTGATCCTGGAGACCTGGGATCCTGTCCCACATCAGCCTCCCTGCATGGAGCCTGCTTCTCCCTCTGCCTGTGTCTCTGCCTCTCTTTGTCTCTCATGAATTAATGAATAAATAAAATACTAAAAAAAAAAAAAAATCTCAAGGTTATGGACTCCCTGGTTAGGTTCTCAATAAAAGACTGCCATTGAGGGATCCCTGGGTGGCGCAGCGGTTTGGTGCCTGCCTTTGGCCCAGGGTGCGATCCTGGAGACCCGGGATCGAATCCCACATCGGGCATCCCGGTGCATGGAGCCTGCTTCTGCCTGTGTCTCTGCCCCTCTCTCTCTCTGTATGACTATCGTAAATAAAAAAAAAAAAAAAAAAAAAAGAGAGACTGCCACTGAAAGCCCTCAGTGGCATCTCTCACTTCCTTTTTTTTTTTTTAAAGATTTATTTTTATTTATGATAGACCGGGGCTGCCCTGATGCTGGTAGTTTAATGAAGAACTTGGTATTTACATAGTTGAAAGTATCTCACAAAATTATCATTTGGGAAGGAAGAATAGTAACTACAGTGGAGAGATTTGGCATATACCACCGTAACCAAGTGATCACAATTAACCTCACCACTGATGGTTAAAATACTCATTATGTACCTGCTCTTTTGATGAATGAGAAGAACACAGCGTTTCTCTCTCTTTTAAGATTTTATTTGACAGGGATCCCTGGGTGGCGCAGCGGTTTAGCGCCTGCCTTTGGCCCAGGGCGCGATCCTGGAGACCCAGGATCGAATCCCACGTCAGGCTCCGGTGTATGGAGCCTGCTTCTCCCTCTGCCTGTGTCTCTGCCCCTCTCTCTCTCTGTGACTATCATAAATAAAAAAAAAAAAAAAGATTTTATTTGACAGAGAGAGAGAGCCAGGAGACAGCACGAGCAGAGGGGAGGGGCAGAGGCAGAACTTTCTTAACTGGTTCAACAATTCTGGAAATTGTTTAGCAAGATCTAGTGAAGTTGGAGGTGTGAACAATTCCACATTTAAATATGTTTGATAATCTCGAAACGGGCAGCCTGGGTGGCTCAGCGGTTTAGTGCTGCCTTCAGCCAGGGCGTGATCCTGGAGTCCTGGAATGGAGTCCCGCATCAGGCTCCCTGCATGGAGCCTGCTTCTCCTTCTGCCTGTGTCTCTGCGCCCCCCGCCCTCTGTATCTCTCATAAATAAATAAATAAAATCTTAAAAAAAAGAGATAATCTCCAAAAGAACAGGAGAGGGTTGTTCATTGCAGCTAGTTCGTTTTACTAGGTCATTGATAACGGGTGAAAAATTGGAAGCAACTTAATTATATTAACAGATGACATCAACAGATGACAACAGATGGATCAATAGTTTGTGGTATGATCATACAATGCATTTAAAATGAATAAAATATATCCACACGTGTTAACACGTAGAAATCTCAAAAAAAATCTTAGGTGCTGGTCAAGGCCGGTAGCAGAAATTTATAGTGTAAAATTTATAAACAGAACAATAATGTCTGTTGTAACAAAGAAAACAATGACATATGTTGTGAAAATTAGTAAAGGGAAACCTCACTAAAGTGGCATTGGGAGGCTGGAAGAGAGAGGTGGTACCCCTGGATGTCAATTACAGGAAGCATTGTCAATTACAGACCCTGCCAGAAGAAGTCTCAGCAGAAAGAATGATCAATTACAGGCTCCAACAGGGAAAAGATACACATTGCCTCTCCTGCAGGAAATCAACTACCTCTGCAACTCAGCCACTGAGAAATCCTAAGCGCCCTGAGCTCTTGTTTTTCTGCAATGGCCTTTTTGTTCAGAACAACCCCTCCCAACTGCTTCCTTCTTCCCCATAAAGTAACATTTCTCTCCTTTGTTAGACTCACGGTTTTGCCATAGCCAGAATGTTCCAAAGTGCAATTTTCTGTGGATCCCGAATAAACCCGCTCTCGGTGATAAAGTAACTGCTTTATTTTTAAGTTTAACATTGTCTGTGAGTAAAAAAGGAGATGGAGTTCCTGCCCTGGAATAATGTGGTACTTGAAGAAAGTCAAGTGGGCATGATTACAATGATTACAGTGCAGTACCACTGAAAGCCATAATGAGACAGCCCTTAATACACTGGAGAAGGTGAAGGAACATTTTTCAGAAATGGCAAAGCCTTTTATGCTTCTTTCCCACATGGAACCAAGTCCTTAAAAATAAGAAGGGGTTACCCAGGTGAAAGGGAGGAAGAGTGTTTCTAGCAGATAGTGACATTTGCAAAATCCACGGGGAGAAACCGCAGAGCCCAGTTTGGAAACTACCAGTAGTTTCTCAGAACTGGAGGTGGGTAAAGAAAGCGATACCAGGAATTGGTAGGCAACCCCGGACATAGGTTCTGATGGCACTAAGGAGTCTGACTGCCTTTTAAAGGCTGTGGGAAGGGGCAGCCCGGGTGGCTCAGCGGTTTAGCGCTGCCGTCAGCTCCCAGCGGTGATCCTGGAGAGCCGGGTTCGAGTCCCACGTCGGGCTCCCAGCACGGAGCCTGCTTCTCCCTGTGTCTCCGCCTCTCCCTGTGTCTCTCATGAATAAAATCTTAAAAGAAAAAAAAAAAAAGGCTGTGGGAAGGGTAGGAGACTGTTGAAGCAGGAGAGTAACAGGTGCATCACCGATTACAAATAAGAAGATGGCTCGGGAGAAGATCAGTTAGTTGAGCGGTTTGTTATCTTTCTTTTTCTTTCTTCTTTCTGTTGTGTGTGTTTTTTTTTAAGATTTATTTATTTATTTTATGATAGACATAGAGAGAGAGAGAGAGAGAGAGAGAGAGAGGCAGAGACTCAGGAGGAGGGAGAAGCAGGCTCCATGCCGGGAGCCCGACGTGGGACTCGATCCCAGGATTCCAGGATTGCGCCCTGGGCCAAAGGCAGGCGCCAAACCGCTGAGCCACCCAGGGATCCCCTCTCTTGTGGTTTTAAAGAAAACCAGGCAGGAAATAATGGGGCCTCAACTGAGCCAGAGGAGGTGGTGGCTGAGAGATACCAATGTGTCCACCTAGGACTCAGGGAGGGATTGGCTGTAGGTGCAGGGAGAGGATTCCAGGAAGCTCCTGGCCTGGGCATCTTGGATGTATGATGGAATGAAAGGGGTTGCATTTTGTGCCACTGACTCCTGCCCATGGCCTCCCTGATTAGACCAGGAACGAGCCCCTCACAAATGTTTATAAAGTTGAAGTATAAAAATGTACAGAGGAAGGGCTGGGGACGCTGGTTAGACCGAATGGGTTTTCACAGGGTGGGGGTGGGGGCGTGTGGTTTTGGATTCATCTCCAACGTTTTAACTACAAAATAAAAGCTGAGGTAAATGTAGCAATAGGCGAGGTTTCATTTCTGAGAGCACACGAATGTCACATTGTTTTCTGCACTTGCAGTTTTGGAACTAAATGTAAAAGGCAAATGGCCAAAGAATATGGTTAGAAGCAGAGGAGCTCGAGCTCTATAAAGGGGTTAAACCAGAAAGCGGCGGGGGCGGGGAGCGGTGCGGTTGTCAGTCTTTGTGTGCACGGCGGGTGTGCAGAGCGGAGCCTCCGGAGATCTGCACCCGGCTGGGTGGGTGAGGCTGGGCGGGGGAGGAGGGGCGCGCGGGAAGCTTCCAGCCTGGCCCCGCCCCCGGCCCCGGCCCCGGCCCTCCGGCCCCGCCCCCCTCCGGCCCGCCTCAGCTCCTCCTACTTCCGTGACGCCGCCTCCCGTTTCTAGGTAACCTGGGGGGGGGGTTAAACAACGCGGCCGCAAGGCGGGCGCTGCTTGTGGGTCCTCTTCTCCGCCCTTGACCCTCGGACGCTGAGAGCCATGGCCCTGCCGCTGCTGCCTGGCAACAGCTTCAACCGCAACGTGAGTAGCGAGGGCGCCCGAGGTCAGAGGTGCTGGCCAGAATCTGGGGTCCGGCCGTGGCCACGTCCCCCGACCATACTCGGGCATCCTGTTGCTTCACCTCCTGTGCATTGGGAACAACTTGGACCAAACTTTGTGGGCCAGTGAAACCCTTACTCTCTGTCTCCCCTTTCCCTGTCTCTCCAACTGCACCTCCTGCCTTAGCTACATTAGATAATGTAAGTAGCCTTTAGTAGGTGGCAGGACCTGGAAAGGTAGCCAGCGGTAGTGACGCTGATAGCAATCATTGTTGAGCGTGTAAGGTGTGCCAGGTGCTGTGTTGTAGTCGCCCTACCCGGCATTTGCTGCTTAGGTACTATTTTTATTCCCATTTTAGAGTTGAGGAAACTGAGGCACGGAGCGATGAGTCACTCCCTCACTGGCCAGAGCTACACAGCTTCTGTGTGAAATGGGGTTTCTTCCAGGCAACCTGTCTCCACAGCCCAGGTGCCTGGTCATTGTCCTTCATACATAGTATGAAAGAGAAATGTAGTTACTGTTACCAAAGCGAAGAAACCTGGCGCTCTCGAAGCTGCAGGAGGCAGATAGGGAAGGGTTCCAGCAGCCCCGAAAGTTTGATCCTAAACTTCCTAGGGCGAAGTGTCCGAACTTGGGAGTTTTTTTCTTCGTTGAGGCTTGGAGGCGTTCGTTTCAAAACAAGGTGAAAGCACAAAACACACCACCCGACGACGCCAAAAACCCAGAGCACGAGAGAATTTTGCCAATAACAAGTAGCCCCTTTTTTTTTTTAATTTTTATTTATTTGTGATAGAGAGAGAGAGGGGCAGAGACACAGGCAGAGGGAGAAGCAGGCTCCATGCACCGGGAGCCCGACGTGGGACTCGATCCCGGGTCTCCAGGATCGCGCCGTGGGCCAAAGGCAGGCGCCAAACCGCTGCGCCACCCAGGGATCCCAGTAGCCCCTTATTTAAACACCAGCCGAAAAGCGATTTGTGCTTTTCTTTACAATGGTCTTCACTCTACTTGGGTTTGCCAGTTTCGGCTCCGGGAAGAAGGCCGGTGATACACTGGTGGGATTTAACTAGAGGGAAGCCCTCGACGCGTTGTGGGATCGTCGGGTACATTTAGAAAGCAGGAAGCGGATTGAATGAAGCATTTGACTTTGTGGATTCAAAAGTGTTCCCAAGTTGTTGGCCCAAAAGTCCCGATTTCCTCTGTAGCTTTAGGCCGCTGGATTCCGACCTCCACGGAGCAGCTGGCCGGACCGAGTTGCTTTGCTGAACACTGGTTTGTACATTTTTCAGCTCATGGGTTAGAGGCGGGCCTTCCAGCCTAGCATTGCCCCTTGCTAAGATTAAGGCAGCCACACAAATAAGAAAGACCCCAGAGAGGCATAGGACGTGAACAAAGATTCCAGAAGTAACGAAGTATGCTACATAAGAGTAATTTTGAGAAAAATCGAAAGTATAGCCCGCAGCTTTCAGCCCAAACACTTCAGATTTACTGATGTCTGCCTCCTGCAGAAGCACCACAGATCCCACATGCAGTGATTAAGAGCAGGAAGGAAAAGCAGTACTTTGATGAGATCTTTACAGTCTGCAAAGCTGTACATAGTATACCTTTTTTTTTTATTGTGAAGTACACATGTGCAGGAAAAATGCATAATGGATGATCACAAAATGGACATCAAGAAACACACTCCAAAAACATCTCCCTTGTCTGGGGTTGCCAGGTTTAGCAAATAAAAATATGTGTCCCAAATACTGCATGGGACCTACTTACACTAAAAGATTATTTGTTGTTGTTCTCAAATTCGAATTTAACTGAACACCTTGGTATATTATGTGGCAACCCTGCCTATCACTCTTTCCCCCTCTGCTCCTGTCCAGAGTTAACTACACCGTTGAGGTTTTTTTGCTTGCTTTTGAACTTTGTGCCCATGTAAATGTCTGGTGTTCTTTTGTAACTGGCTTCTGTTTAGCTCACTATTATATTTGTGAGATTTGTCCTTGTGGCTGTCTGCAGAGGTAGTTTGTGCATTTTCCTTGCTCTGTAGTATTCCATTGCATGAGTATGACATTTATATATGCTTGTTTGGGGTTGTTAAGAATAGTTTGCTGTGACTATGCTTGTTTATGTCTGCTGGTGGAATTGCTCGATCATAGCGTTTTTATACATTCAGCTTTAGTAGACACTATCAAAGTGCTTATACCAGTTTAAATCCCCAGCAGCATGTTATAGGTTCCTGTCGCTGTGCATCCTAAGAGTTGATAAGGTTGGTCTTTTAAATTGTAGTTCTTTTGATCAGCGAGTATAGTGAAACTCTAGTTTCAATCTGTGCTTACCTGATTCCTAGTGATCTTGAGCATGATTTACACATTTATTGATCACTTGGATATTCTCTTTTGTGTAGTAATTGTTGGTCTCTTGTCTACTCTTTTCTACTGGGTTATCTGCCTTTTTTTACTTAGTGATATGTGGGAATTCTATATAGATTTTGGATATAACTCTTCTGTCTGGCATCTGTGTTGGTAAATATCTTCTAGTCTGTGACTGGCCTTTTTACTTTCTTAATGGTGTTTTTGATGAGTAATTGTTCTTTTAGATTAGTGGGTTTTTTTTATTCCTTTTTAAGAAATTGGTCCTTAACACCAAGTTCATGATGATATTTTTCTGTTATCTTCTGAAATTTTGTTATTTTTATCTTTCACATTTAGGTTTCTAATCTAGTATAAATTTGTGTGTGTGTATGAAAAGAAGTAGGGGGATCCCTGGGTGGTGCAGCGGTTTGGCGCCTGCCTTTGGCCCAGGGCGCGATCCTGGAGACCCGGAATCGAATCCCACATAGGGCTCCCGGTGCATGGAGCCTGCTTCTCCCTCTGCCTATGTCTCTGCCTCTCTCTCTCTCTCTCTCTCTGTGACTATCATAAATAAATAAAAAAAATAAAAAAAAAAGAAAAGAAGTAGGGGTCAGGTTATATTTTCTTCCATATGGATATTCAGTTGACCCAGAAGCATTTTTTTAAAGAAAACAATTTAGCTGAGTAAATTTTAAAGATCCCACTGGCTTTATGCCACAGTTCATGAATTGACAGCATCTAGTTTAGCGGAAAAAAGCTCTGGACAGTTCTTACAGCAAGACATTTTATAGGTTTGGGGGGGCATTATACTAGGCAAAAAGAAAAATCAAATTGGATTGATCACTATAAGGTTACTTTCCTTATGGGATATGGCAGGGGCTTTTTAGGCAGTTTACCTAACTAATGCTGATCAGGCAATTCATGATTGGCGATTCATGATTGGGACAGCCAAAACTCTTAAGTTTCAGTTTGTGACAGGGGGCTTAGCATGATCAACTGCATTTAGAGCCTGTTGTCTTCTAACACATTTTTAGAAAAGACCGCCCTTTCTCTACCACTCTGCAGAGCTGCTACCTTTGTCGTAAGTCGAGTATCCAAATAGACGTGGCTCTGCTTCTAGATTTGTGTATTTATTTATTTATTTATTTATTAAGATTTTATTTATTCCTTTTTTTTTATGATAGTCACAGAGAGAGAGAGAGAGAGGAGAGAGAGAGAGAGAGAGAGAGGCAGAGACACAGGCAGAGGGAGAAGCAGGCTCCATGCACCGGGAGCCCGACGTGGGATTCGATCCCGGGTCTCCAGGATCGCGCCCTGGGCCAAAGGCAGGCGCCAAACCGCTGCGCCACCCAGGGATCCTTTTTTTTTTTTTTTTTTTTTTTTATTTTATTCCTGAGAGACAGGTGGAAACCTTGGCAGAGGGAGAAGCAGGCCCCCTGCAGGGAGCCTGATGTGGGACTTGATCCTAGGACCCGGGAATCATGACCTGAGCCAAAGGTAGATGCTTAACCACTGAGCCACCCAGGTGCACCTTGTGACTGTATTTAAAAATATTTATTTACTTTATGCCTCAGACCAGTAGGAGTGTGTGTGTGCATGCGTGAGTGTGTGTATGAATTAGGGAATGACAGTATACTTATTAGATACCTCGGGCTGTCATTTAACAAACTAGTATTTATATATTGAGTGTCCTTGTATGTGCCTAAATCAGCTGCATGTAGAGAATTTTGTGGCACTAACTTTGGTACTGTGTTGCCAAAAAATTAATATTCTTTTAAAACCTTGTACTTAGTTAAAAGTGTGTTCTCTGGTGCACAGAGTAGTCAAAAAGTCAGTAGAGCCAAATCTGGCTTTTTTTTTTTTTTAATTACCCTCCCCCCACTACCTCCCGCTATTAGAGAACCTTGCTTGCTGAATTAAATTATCAAGTGAAGAACCTTGGCCTCCTGGAGATCGCATAATTACTGGCTGTTTGGGTTTAAAATTATAACACAAGCTAACTTTTACTGCTTTTCTTAGAAATTAAAAAGGAACTGGTTTCTCCCTTAATTAGCTGCTGGTAGTCCATCATGAGCAATAGATTGATTTCTGCCCACAGCTAGGTGATGTGCAGCCTATACTTCTAGCTCTGAAATACAAGAAGTATTGTGCTTTCTAAAATATTAGCATTTGTACCAATGATGACATTAAAATTATGTTGATGTGAATTAACTGAAAACCTTAGGGAAAAAGGTCACAGCTAAATTCCATACACATGGTATCTTTTTCCAACAATTTACATGCTGGATTTATTTTGAGCTTAAAGAATCTGAGGCATATTGTCAAAAATAATAGGATATTAAAGTTAAAAGGGACATTTCTAGCCAAAGCTGAAAATCTTTTCTACAGCATTTTGGACAGATGGTTGTGTAGCTGGTCCTGAATGCCCCTGATGAATAATGAGTACACTTTGTTATTTATGCCTTGCCACCATCTTATGAGGGCTTGTTGTAAATAGTCCATCTTTAATTTATAGTGAAGCAACTGTTTCCTTAAGAAAAAACATTATTTGAATTCACAGCAGTAGGATAAAACAGAAATTCAGAACCTCTCTGCCTCTCTTACAAAAGAGTGTGGGCAATACCTTGACATTTATTTTTA